ATATTTTACGGAATTATTCTGGTAACCCCAGCTGCCAGTTTTTTTCCGTAAAAACTACGGGATTTTTTTTACAGTGCAGGGCATAAAGCTAAATCACATTCACCTGTCCTGTCTGTATGTGGAGTTGCCATGTTCTCCTCGGGTTCTAGGGGTTCTCTTCAAAGTCATCTTATTAGGTGAATTAATGTCTTTATGTTGACAGTAATGTGTGTATGTATGCATGTATTATCATTAATAGTAAAATTATTTATATTAATTATAGTAATTTCTATTATTAATAACATAATAGAATAATACAGTATGGTTATTAATTTATATTACTAATAACTATATAATAATAATAATAATAATAATAATAATAATAATAATAATACACTTTATTTATGGGTGCCTTTCAGGACACTTTCAGGTCACCTTACTTGAAATAAACAGTTTATTAACGTCTTAAAGCAACAATTAATAAGAAACTCCATACACAAATTATACAAGAGTAATAATAAAATAATTCTTGACAGAGAAAGATACTGTAGATGAGTTGTAAAGTGTACTTTAAATAGAGTGATTGAATCCAATAGCTGGATACTCAAGGGGAGAGAGTCCCAAAGTCTGGGTGCTGAGTGGCTGAAGATCCGGTCAGCCGTGGTATGAGTCTGACAGCAGGAATAGTGAGCAAGTCAGCTGAGGAAGAACATAGAGAGCAGGACAGAGTATGAGAATGTAAAACCTCAGCCAGGTAACTACGAGCAAGGCTGTGCAGGGCTTTAAAAGTAAGCAGAAGTATCTTATGGCCAGTCCTGTACTAGGCAGGAAGCCAGTGAAGCTGAATGAATGTCAGGGTGATATGATCACTAGGGATAGTGCATGTTTTGTGTGACCTGGAGCCTATGAAGTAATCTATTAAGAATGACTGCATGAATGGCATTGCAGTAATCAATGCGGGAGGTAACAATGGTGAACAGTAATTTCTATGTCTCGCTGTGTGAGTTCCGGCCGAAGACAAGCAGTATGGCAAAGGTGCTTAAAGGAAATCTGAGAAAGGTTTTAATGTGAGATTCGAAAGAGAGTGACACCGAGGCCCTTTACCTGAGAGGAGTGTGTGTGCTTACCTGTGTGCCCTGCGATGGACCGGCATCCCATGCGTCCTGGTATAGACCCCTTGGTGACCACGACCAGGATAAGTGGTTTGATGGATGGGAGGATAGTTATGTTTGTAGGATACAGGATTTTTCAGGGAAAAGACGATGTGTAAAGCCTGACCAGATGGTTTCTAGTGCATGTTAAACTAAGAAGGACATTAAAGTCATATTGGCTTTTCATCCCTGAACATCATTTTCCTTTCCTCATCTGCTTTCAATAATCGATCCCCGGAAGAACAGGACGCAAGGCTTAGTGCTTCTTAGTTATGACAGTGCATTGTTGGGCACACACACAGACACTCAGGGACAAGAGGTGGTGATTTAATCTACAGATTTTCAACTGAACAGCATGTCATTGGGAAACTGGGATCACTGTGATCTCCTGAATAAGTATACTCACATATGGAGATCACACGGTGACCTGGGGGTAGGTTTAAACCTCTCACTTTGGGCCTGTCAGCATTAGTTAATGCATGCTACTATGGTTCTGTTTGAAGTGGATACAGTGTAGGTCATCAACTCTGCGGAAGAATCTATGGGTAATTCCACTGTGACTCGCGTTACATTTTAGTCCACTTTTCTAACTTGCAGCTGCTGTCATAGCCACAGCAGTGGTCCAAGAAACTTTTATCTACTGCACATGTGATTATTATAGCATAAATAACAAAATTATAAAAATTATTTTTTAAAGAATTTTAATTGAAATTTTAATTACAAATTGATTACAGCGTGACTCGCGTTACAAAAAAAGGAAAACCTTTAAAGTTCAAATGATAATAGCATGGTTTCTCCTCAAACTAAAGACATTGGACTCCATTGAATACCATAAAGATGCTCTCTACATTGCATAGTTCTGAATAGGCTAGAATGGAATTTTAACTTTTTGATTGTTACAGAGAAAATGTTACATAATATGCGTGACTCGCGTTACCGTGACTCGCGTTACCTCAAAAGCAGCACTAACTACATAATGCTCACACTTACAGAATTAAAACATGGACAGGATTTTCTTCCTGATTTTGGTAGTTGGTATGGTGAACACCTGATGATAAAAAAAAAATCTAGCCTACATGTACATATTTGATTACATTGATTAAGTGATTAACCCCATCATGGAAAGAGGTGAATTTCAATAATTGCATTTGATTAACCAAATATAGAATTTTAGCAGTAAAGTTCTCTTCTTTCATAAACATCTTAAGTAAGCCTTTTTATTTAAAGACTGGCAAAGCTGTAATGCTCACGTGAATTCACAAGGATGGGTGGCAGTAATTTTCGCACCATTTTATCAAGTGTGTAGAAAATCTAATCTGGGGTATTTGGCCACTTCCAATTTTTCCCAGCGGCCACCATGACCTTCACCTGGTATTCACCTTTTTCTATTTTCTGGACTTTAACAGGGAATATCTCCCCTTCATAACTCACAGCCCACCATTCACCAACAACTGGAACTTGGGAGGCTCCAGGCTCTTGCATCTCATTATTCTGATCAGACATGTCAGAGGTCAAGAGGAAAGTGGCAATGTTGCCATCAACCATTTTCATGCAATGGATGTCACTAATGCCTGCAATTGCTGGGGCATTTTTGAAGACTTGTTCTAGGCACAATGATTCATTGATGGCTTCTATCTCAGATGGTTTGATTTCTAGAACCCTAACATTGCTAGATGCTGCTGCTTCTGTAAATGTTGATGCATTATTTACTATGTATTTTCTAGAGATGGGCGATCCACGTTTTTTCAGTTCCGATCCGATTTCGATACACAACTGCCGATACCGATACAGATTCCGATACAAGAGCTCCTTTTACTTTGTTAAAAAAAATGTATGACAAAAAATATTTAATTAGGCTACTACAAACATACATAACGTACTGTTCCACCTCATTTGTTTTAAGCGTTTTTGAGGCATTTGCAGTTCAATATGAATATCTTCAAAGCAAATATACACAAGTGGCGAATGCTTAAAATTTTAACAGTTTTTCTCCCATTGGCATCAGCGCAGTTACACTTTTGTTGCGATGGCAGCCCCTCTTGTATCTCAAGCAACGAGTTCGCAAAACAGTCCAATTAAGTTAGCGACTCCCAAATCATCCTTTGCTTTGTTTTGTCTCGCAGTTGGGATTTTCCATTAAACGCTATTCCCACCTCAAAACCTTATTTTACATAGATTGCAAAACGCTGTGCTTCCGGTTTCTGTTAAAAGCCTAAAATACTCCCAGATCGTCACGTCTTATCTTACGCTCCTCGTACTGCGAAGGGTATGCGCATGACCTCACAGCAGGCGGAAGTCACTGTACTCACACCCACTGAGTAGCAAAAAAGACTTAGGGGCAGTGATAGCGTTCGATTTGAATTCCGCAAAAACACACATGTAAAATGGGAAAGAGCTGTCGTGCGATTGATTGCCAAAAACTAAATAAGTAAGTATAGGACGTGGATCGGTCACGCATGGCCGATTCCCGATCCGTCAAATAGTTCTGGATCGGCGCCGATACCGATCCGAATATCGGTATCGGTGCATCTCTAGTATTTTCTGCACCTAATCCCATTCCAAACCAATCTTTTTACACCGCCACCAATACCATCAACTGGGCCTTTGCCATGGCAGGTGGCAAAAAAAATCCAGGTGATTTCAACATGGTGTTTTGCCTGCAGTGGTTCTAAGACAGCAGCAATGAATCGATTTTTAAACTGTAAAGCAGGACCATCTGACCACACGGACAGTTTCTGAACATGATCAGGAAGTTGTGAAAGGATACAATCCATATAAGCCACAATTGTGTCCTTGGAGTGAGTTAAATTGTCAGAGGCTAGAACAAAAGGATGCAAACTACCATCATACCAAAGTGCAACAGTAAACATGCTAACTTGTCCATGATGCCAATGACCAGTCTGAATTTCATCTTGCCACCAGCAGGTGAAATTTTCAGCGAAATCAACCTGCAGGAGGGCCTTTGTACTTTCAAACTCATCAGTGGCATCAGACCTTTCCTCTTTGTAGGCATTGGCTTGTTGCCTCTTTATGAAGCAATGCTCCATAAACTTTGGTATCATGCCAATGAAATGTGCGATTAGATCACCAGTGTTTCCATCTTCCACTACCTTATCCAGCCTCCCATTTTCTGCATTTTTCCAAACAATCCAAGACACATTGCTCTGGATTTCTTCAGCATCGACAAGGTTTTTGAAGCCCTGTCCATTACAACAAATTTGGCATTTATTCAACCAGCATTCTCGGCGAGCTGGTGAACAAAGAAATTTCTCAGGCAGGTCAGATGTATAGAGGGGAACAGATGGCTGAACCTTATGAAGTGCTGCAATTGCTTGAATGAAATTCTCATGGTATCTGCACAGGCAGACATTATGTGGAAGCTTGCTACTATAACTAAGCAGCACATGAGGTGGCCGAAGGTCAGCAAACTTACTCTTCCCAATTTTTAAATCGGGAAACTCGTCAACAAACAAAGAAAATACCTCATTCACAGATTAAGTTAAATGTCTAACTTGTTACTCAGTCTTATGTCCACTTTCATCTGCCACAGAGATGAAATCTTTTCGACCAGGTGCTTGGCGGCTTATATCATCTCTACAGTAGAATGATTTAACTTTTTCAATTGTCTCAGCTGGTAGGGAAGTTGGCCCATCTCTTTTAGGCAGAGTTTCTTTCTCCGGCACTTCACCATGTACATAGTCATAAAGTCGTCCCAGGAAGAGACCGCTGAAGTGCTCGTTTTGCCTTCATCGTTGTCTTACCAAGGGCACTAGCACTCTTGAATGCAGGCGATTCTGGACCAATGTTGTTCCTGGCTTGTTTTAAAGCTCGATGCCTGGCCACCCTCTGGCGTACTTTTTCACAGTTTTCAGCAGCTAATCTCTTTTGCACTGAATTGGGTAACTTCAGTTCCTTTGCTTTCTTCGTACTACGGCTTTTTCTGCTTCATTCATTTAGAAGTTTTCTGTGTTCTTCGTATTTTCCAGAAGTACGTAATTTCTCACGTCTTTTTCTCTGTCTTTCTGCTGCTGTTAGTGGACTAGCAAGACTGTAATTATGACACTCAATGTGATAAGGCCTACTGCACATATCATGCATTGTTTTACCATGTTTGTTGTGTTTACATTTCGGTCTCTTTAAGTTTTACTTACATTAGTTGACATAATTAACTTGCTCTATACGTTCCTTATTCTTATTAGAACTACTTTGTTCAAAAACTTCCATTCTACTTACCTTTTTCCATGATGGATGAGACTGGATTTGAAAACTATTTTTTTCTCCATCACAATGGTCAGGCTTCAAAACAAAAGGAAGTCAGCAGGATTCTGGGTAATTAGGCAAGAGTGACCTCTGTTGGGATCCTTAGAAACTGATTATCCTTTTGTCTCAAAGAAATAATTATAAAAGATAACACTCAGATGTAACAGACAAGATGTTTTATTTTGTGACTCGTGTTACAGTACCCAAGATATTGTGACTCACGTTACAAGTGACTCGCGTTACATTTTTCTGAGCTAAATTTCTAAAGGAAATAAGGAGACATGGGTCTTATGCCCCCTTGTTTATGTTCTTTATACCTTAAAGGAGGAGATTTATAGATGACAGTTCAGTTCTCACTAGGAGCTGTTAATAACACTAACTTCAGTATGTTGGCGTGACTCGCGTTACACTGCTGGCACATTCCACTTTTAACACAACTACCTGGTGGATAGCCCCAAAACTGGCAAATTTTCAATGTCATTATTGTTTGTGCATGGACAAGGGATATAATTACCAAATACAGAATCAAAATCTAACAAGAAATTGATCTTACAATGTATATCATAAAATTCATGTAAAAATAGGAAAAAATTTATTTTATCCCAATGCTAACTTCTGAGGAAGAATTTTCTAATGAATAGGCTTGTCAGTGCAAGAGTAACCATTTGTTTAGGCCCTTAGTGGTGTCCCCTGCAATTAAACCCAAATATTTCACACCAGTGCAGTAAATGAAAAATCAATCCATTTCCCCATTTAGTGTGGAATTACCCCTATAATGACACGGTGATGTGATAGTCCTCAGTCCTTATAATAGTTCATATTTAACCAGTGTCCCTCATCCAGCAGCCAAATAGACCCTCCAGTACTCACCATACTCTATGCTTCCAGTAAGTATGTAAGGCCTGGTCTAACTTTCTCCAGAAGCCATTTAAAAAAAAACAAAAAACAATTGTACAGATTATGCTCAGATTACGTTGTTTAAGTGGATGAAAGTAAACAGAGACAAAAATCAGTATTTTGAGATGTTGTGTGAGAGACCCATATGTCAACTGGAGGACTGGATATCTCTCAGTACTGTCATGGTGGGAAAATACAGTTGGCTGTTTTTCTCTTTGAATTTTCCCGTGGGTTTATGACACAGACATCTACTCATAGGAAGTTAATGTCTTTCCTTTTGTAATACTTTGGATTCCAATAAGTCATTCCATAGCCACATCCTGCCTTTCACTATAGCGTCTAAATAAAAAGGGGGATGTTTTATGAAGATTGCTTTAGAAGGCACAATATGTGTGTTGTTTATGTCAAAAATATAGCATTTTTATTTAAAAGCCATAGCAGTGAGTACTTTTCAGGTAAAATAATAACACCACGACATAAATTTAAATGTAGAACATAACCAATTTAATGCTTCTAAATTAATGGATTAAAATGAGAAGGAGAGAAAAATTTAAATAAGCTATAACTAAAGTCTGGCTTAATGTAGTCTGTCATGCTTCATAAATGTTTGAGACATCTAGTCTAAATAGTTATTACCATACTTAAGCAAATGTTCAAGTTTAAATTGGAATACTATATTTAATAATATCATGGTGTGGTGGCGCATTGGTTAGTACAGTTTGCCTCGCACTTTTCTGCTCTCTCCATGTGTATGGAGCTTGCTGCTTCTCCACGTGTCATTCTGGGGTTTTCTCCAGGTTCTCTGTTTTCCCACCACAGTCCAAAAGCATGGTAAGGTGATTTGGAGGTGCCAAATTGCCCATAGGTGTGCATGTGTGAGTGACTGGTGTTTCAATGTGCCCTGGGATGGGTTGGTACCCCATCCTGGGTTGTACCTTGCCTTGCACCCTTAGCTTCCGGGACAGGCTCTGGACCCCTGCAACCTTGAATGGGACAAGTGGGTACAGAAGACGGATGGGATGTATGTTGTCATGATTTTTTTTTCTTCTTATTTGTCCACTGATATTGTTGTACTTTTGCAGCCAACTCACACACGAGTCTGTTGTTTCCAGCATTCCAGTCTGGCCAGCTCATCAGTAAATCGCAGCGCTAATAGAGGCCATATGGGTGGCGTAAACTCATTTTAGAAAATAATCTTTTGAGGGACTATGATCCGGTAAAATAGAAACTAGCATCCCACCATAGGTAAGGTAAAAAACAAATGTTTTTAATAAGGGGTCCTCAGATTATGCCGTCCTTGGGGGGTCCTCAGATTATGCCGTCCTTGGAGGGTCCTTAGATTACACCGTCCCTTTGTGCCGGAATGGTAGAGTATGGAGGGAAAGCCCTGACCGCAACTGATCTTTCTGTGACCCAGCATCCCACGTGCTGAGTGACCAGACTGAGGTCCGGCTGGCTCTGAAGAGAGAGAGGCGGACAGACGGCGTGATGAGCACGTGGGGCAATCGCAATGGCACTGTCGGGGACCTGCTGTCTGTGCTTGAGGAGCTGAAGCTGCACCGGGCCCGGGACATCATTCTGAGTACGAGCTGCACCCGCCCGCCCGCGCTCTCTGGACCGGGGGCGTAATTCCAGCATCCCGAGCCACCAGCCATCTAGTTCTGTAGGAACTGAGCCTTGTGCTGCCTGCTCGTGTTCCCTGCCTTTGACATTGTGTTATTCTTCACTTTATGTGTCAGTTTATATATTTATACATCCGTAGGTCAGCTGCCAAAATGTCCCCGGCCCATGGACTGCAGTCCTCCAAAGCCCCCGCTCCCACACTGCCCCCTTGACCCAGGTGACGCTCTCAGGCTTCAGGCTTTCATTTTGCTGCCAGCCTCTTGGTTTGAGATATGCTCAGCATTAATGAAAACTTTGAGAGTCTTTTTGAATGATTATAGCTGGTTATAGATAAGGATGATCCTATGAAATATAGTGAGCTACCTCAGAAGACAAGTTTAGTTATTTATGAATGAATGGCATAGTCTCTGACAATAATAATAATAATAATAATAATAATAATAGTAGTAGTAGTAGTAGTAGTAGTAGTAGTAGTAGTAGTAGTAGTAGTAGTAGTAGCAGCAGACTCTTGTGTGTAGTCCATCTGATTAAAGATGCACTGTAGTTGTTAACTGAACACAGGTGGGTAGTTCAGGTCTAGAGAGTAACAGTCCAAACTCAACTGGTCAGTGGAAACAGTATCTTAGTCTGGACTTTTAGTTTCTGGACCTGAACTGTCCACCTCTGACTCAACACCCACTCAGGGTAACCAAGCATTGTAACAGCATTAATAGCAATGACAACCTATAATTTAAAATTAACCGCATGCATTTGAAAACAGACTTCAGTCCGCTACCAGTGGTGAACCCTCTTCCCAATCCTGGCCCTCCACCTTCAGATTTGGACTCGGATCAAGAAAAAGAAGTACTCACGGTTCCACAGGTAACCATCTGCTTGAAAAATGTCTGAAAGCGCTGGCTGAATTAAACAGGCCGTGAGTTAACTTGGGTGTTCTCCACTCTTCCTCTTCACTGTCTGCATTATTAGAAACGATGTGGAATCTGGCGCCAATCTATTATTTTTCTGAGAAGAATGTAATCATCCCAGCAGTAGAGATGTGTGCTGTGGCAAAGAGGACGACAGCTCACTGAGAGAAGCAGGGGTTCCTCATGTTTTCAAGATGGTAGCAACAAGCAAAGGATGCATAGCCAGGCATTTTATATATCAAAAACCACACACTGCGCTTCTCAGAAGAATGATTTTTGGTCCCTTTAAGATCCACCAAACATTCTTTTACTTACATGTCTGTGTGTTGCCATTTGCTGGACTGTACTATTCTACCATTTGAAAAATCCCCAAATACAAATCTGACCTTGAATCCAGTTTATATGTGCAGATCTGACATTCCATTAAAATTTAAAGGTGTTTTTATTCTCTCTTCCACCACAAAATGAGCTATTTTATTTACAAAATCAACCAAAAAGAATTCCATCTTTGGAAAAAAAAAAGTGAAAGTTTCACGATTTAGATATGGATCCTCACAATGTGAGAACAAAGAACAGTAAAACAGAAGCAGGTATAAATATTTGGTTTTCTGTCATCTGTAGGTGCCTGTGAAATTTCAGCACAAATAGCAATGCTTGTGCTGCTAGTGGAGCAATGCTGAATGCTAACATAAAATTAGAGAGGACGCTTCTCTTTGCTGTTGATAGCTGCGGCCATAAAGAGCAGTACTAATAGTATTTTCATTGGTATGGTTCCCATAGCAATACTTCATTTTCAATGCTCTCTTCTGCTTTTCTTTACAGTCAGTGGTGCCCCCTGTGCCACCTTCCAATGCCATGTGCTGGTCGTTTGAGGAGGTGCAGCAAGGCACAAATAATTTCTCAGCTGCAAGGCAGGTCGGAGAAGGAGGGTTTGGACACGTGTATCGGGCGAATATGAAGAACACGGAGTATGCTGTTAAGAGGCTAAAAGAGGTGAGGCCATTGTTTATTTTATATGGTTCTTTTTGGGATCGTTAAGTGTCTTGTAAAAGCTAAATTTTACTGAATGCCTAACATACGTATCTGAAAATATTTTTTTGGCTTTTTCAAGAAATAGTTGTAAGGCTGTGTACATTACTAAAAGCAGTGACTCTCTGAATGAGGGTGTTTGCTGGGTGTAGAGGAGTAATCCATGGTGGTGGTCTTCTCAGCAGGACTCTCGACTAAACTGGACGTTTGTGAAGGAAAGTTTCAAGACTGAGGTGGAGAAACTGTCACAGTAAGGCACCGATCTCTAGCTTTTAAACATGGCCATGTCTCCTGCTCTAGCAATTTGCAGTGGATTTTCATGCCTTCGTTCTTTATTTTGACTTCTTGTTCTTTAATTTCTCCCACTTTATTGAATATTAGAATTGCAGGTTATGTTTTGCAGGTGGTTTGTTGGGATTACTAACAGTAAATTTACATTGATACAGTGTCCCATTGAGTATGAGGTGATTATGTAACATTACCTTTATTGTGTAGACAGGCTACTTTAAAACTAGTGCTGGGCAAGTTAACGCGTTATTATCGCGTTAAC